CTTCAAAAAGATGAACCAAGTGGGAACACTTCCACTATCTGATATCAAGACTTGCCATAAAGCTACAATAATCAGGACAGTGCAGTATTGGTAGAAGGATAGACAAATAAATCAATAAAGCAGAATAGAGAGTCCAGAAAGAGATTAACACATATAAATGATTTACTATGAAAGTACCACATCAAGTCAATGGAAAAAGTGATGTCTTTTCAATGAAAGCTGTGGGAACATCAGAAATGTATTTTGGGAGAAAAAATAATCTTGACCCCTATCTGACTTTTCATAAAATTAATCTGAAATGAATCATGGACCTAAGCTTAAAACTCTGAACCATAACAGCCAGCTACCAAGAGGGAGTGAGAGGTTGAACCTGTGGGCTCGGGACTGCAGTCACAGGGGACATCAAGCTCAATTGGCATAACATACTACACAAAATACTGCTCCACCTCCTACTTTGGTGTGTAGCAAATGGGATCTTAAAAGCTTGCAAGCGGCCATCTAGATGCAACGATGGGTCTCTCCTCATCCACAGCAAAGAAGAATGAAGAAAACCAAAGATTCATGGAAAGAATTAGTCCTCGTGACTGGTGCACCATGTGATCCTCAGCCCATACAACTATGAGACCAGAAGAACTAGATGGTGCCCAGCTACCACTGTCAACCACTCAGGGGGGGATCTATGGAGGAGATCCTGGATAGAGAGGGAGAACAATGTGGAACAAAACTCAAAATCATTTGGGGAAAAAAAGGAGGGGGCTGGTCTGATAGAGCCTGGTGGAACCACTGAGATTATGGTCCCTCGCTGCCATTCAGGTCTGGAATTGAGCCCATACCTGTGGTTTCCAGCCAAACAAAAGACAGGCATATGAGTTGAACATGTACCTGAGGTAGATACATTCCTTGGAGAGAACAATCATGGGAGAAAGAAGGGCTGTTTATGCACAAGGAGACAGCTCAGAGGACAGGAGTGCATGGAGGGATGAACACAGGGAAGAGGTAACTCTCGGGAGGAAGTGGGAGGGGAGCTGTTGCATTGGGGTAAGTTGTAGTCAATGTCATGAGACAATGTGTGTGTGAACTGCTATATGGAAAGTGAATTTACTCTGCAAACTTTCACCCAAATCACACACACACACAAATGTTGTTGTTATTTGCCATCGAGTCGGCCCCGACTCATAGCGACCCCTCCTTGGGTTTCCGAGGCAGTATCACTACGGAAGTAGGATTGCCCAACCTTCCTTCCGAGGAGTGGCTTGTGGGTTTGAACCGCCAGCCTTCTGGTTAGCAGTCAAGTGCCTTAGGCACTATGCTACCAGAGCTCCACACACAAATAGAATAATAAAAATAATAAAAAAATAAAATAAAATAAAAATTCTGAACCATAAAAGAAACATAGAAGATGATCTTTGTGACCTGGGGTAGGCAAAGATTTCTTGGACAAAAATAAAAAATTGATAAATTGACTTTACCAGGATTTAAATTTTCTGCTTATGAAAATATACCACTGAGTAAATGAATTAACAAGCTATAGACCTGGAACAAAAATCTTCACACACAAAAAAACCCTGTATCTGAAGTATGTAAAGCATTCTTACAAATCACCAGTAAAAATATAAACAACCCTACTACAAAATGGGCAAAAGATTTCAACAGACACTTCACAAAGTATGATATACAAGTAATCAATAAACATTAAAAAGTGCTCAACATCATTAGTCATCATGAAAATAGAACTTAAAACCACAGGGAAATACAATTTCATACCCAGCAGAATGGCTAAGGAGTCCCTAACCAAAAAGCCCAAACTCACTGCCTTCCAATCAACCTCGACTCCTAGTAACCCTACAGGACAGAGTAGAGCTTCCCCATGTGGTTTCCAAGGCTGTAAATCTTTACGAAAGCAGACTGTCGCATCTTTCTCCTGTGAAGCCACTGGTGGTTTCAAATTGCCAACCTTTCAGTTAGTACCCAAGTGCTCTAACCACTAGGACTCCTTCAAGGAGTCCCTGGGTGGTGCAAACGGTTAAGGACTTGACTACTAGTCACAGAGTTAGCAGTCTGAATCCACCCAGAGGTGCCTTGGAAGACAGGCCCAGTGTTCTGCTTCCAAAAGGTCACAGTTTTGAAAACTCTATGGAGCAGTTCTACTCTGCATATATAAGTCAGAATTGACTTGACAGCAACTAACAACAAGAAGAATGGCTAAAATCAAAGACTAACATTCCAATGACCTATTACCGCAGAATGTATCACCCCAAAACTTAGTTACAATAATTTTACTATCTCGGATGGTTTCTTCGGGTCAGGAGTTGAGGAAAGGCTTGGCTGGGTAGGTCTGACCCGAGGGGTCTCTTCTGCAGTTGTAGTCAGACCAGATATGGAAAAGGTTCTCTTCATGTCGTTTAGTTTAGGCTTCCTCACAGCATGGCAGCCTCATTGTACTCAGACTTCTGACAAGAAGGCTCATGGTTCCAAGAGCACGTCTTCCAGCTAACAAGGTACATTACTTTATGACCTACCATTAGAAGTCAAGCAGTGTCCTTTCTGCCACAAGCCTATCCAGACTCAAGGGCAGTGAGATTAGACTTGGTCTTTTGATGTGGCAGTAGCAAGATTCTAGAAGAGCATGTGGGATGACTGATGGTGTTCCAGCCATTTATGGGAAAATACAATCCTCGGGAGATAAACTTGGAAAGTAACGCAGAAGACAGATTATTCTAGGTCTTGTTAGCCATACCCAAGAGTTTCGTTTTCGTATGAATTTTGATGGGGAACCTACTGGAGGGTTTAAGCAAGAGTGAAGTTAACCAAATTTGTCCTTAAAAATTCATTCTAACAGTTGTGTGGATAAAGAATTTGTGAGGAGGTGCTGGAAGCAGAAAGACCAGTTAGAAGGGCTTTCTTACAGAAAGTGAAAGACAACAGTGGTCAGGCCTTGTGGTACTTAAGGTTACATGTCAATTTGCCTGGGCCTGGTTTTGAGTGGAAGCAGCTCTGGTGGCATAGTGGATAAGGCACTTTGGCTGCTAACCAGAAGATCAGTAGTTCAAACCCACCAGCCACTCTGCAGAAGGAAGATGGGGTGACCTACTTCTATACAGATTTACAGCCACGGAAACCCAATGAGGGCCGCTATGAGTCAGAATGGACTGTATGGCAGCGAGTTTGGTTTGAATGGCTGGGCAACTGGTTGTAGTTATTCCCCGTGATGAGACTGGTAATCAACTCCATGGCAGAATCTACCTGAGTCGCTGCCTTAGGGATGTGATCTGCTTCCAGTATATATGCAGTAGCTTTGAGAAAGGTCTCTAGCTTTTGGCACATCTGGGTCCTGTATTTAAGGAGCTCTGGTAGCACAGTGACTAAGGCATCTGACTGCTACCCAGAAGGTTGATGGTTTAAACCCACCAGCCACTCTGCAGAAGCAAGACTGGGCAATCTACTCCTGTAAAGATTTAACACCTCAGAAACCCAGTGGGGGTTGCTATGAGTCAGAATCAACTCAATGGCAGTAGGTTTGTTTTTTGTTTTTGTTCTTTTGTTTGGATCCTGCATTTGGCTGAGTCTTCATCCCAGTGGCCCACCATGTTGTCTGCCCATCTTGGGACTATTAATGGACTTGAATTAGTGGCCTGCCATGTTGCTCGACAATCTTGGGGCTGAGCCATTTCACTTGTCCACCTCGGGGTTTGTCAGCCTCAGCAGCCAGCAGCTGTCTGAGTTAGGAAAAGCCTCCAGCTTCAGTTGGCTAGGAGGAAAAGGCAAAACTGAAGCCTACGGTGGAAGGGCCTTCATCCAGTCCCTAGAGCTGGCACTTTGAACTGGGACTTCTGGCCTCCTAAACTGTAAGAGAATAAATCCCTGTTTGTTAAAACCACCTATTTGTTGTATTTCTGTCAAAGCAGCACAAGAGAACCCAAATAGGCCTGGAGTCGGCTAGGGCACAAAGGGGTGGAAGGAAAGACTATCAGTTTTGCAGCATGTCTGGCAGTTTTACTTCCTGAAATGGTAAACAAAGGAGAGGTAAATTTGGGACTGGGAAGAGATCATGAGTTCATGAGTTGATCTGGAAAGTTGAGCATGAGAGGCCAGGACACACACCCTAAAGCAAATGTGCAAGGCAAAAACTCTAAAAAAAAAAAAAAAAAAAAACCTCACCACCACTCATAGCAATTCCCATTGGGTTTTTGAAGCTGTAAATCTTCATGGAAGTAGATCGCCCTACCCGCATTCCACGGAGCGGCTGGTGGATTTGAACCACTGACCTTCCGGTTAGCAGCAAAGTGCCTTATCCACTATGCCACTGGAGCTCCTAAGACTGAATCTGTTGTTGTTGTATGTGCCATGGAGTTGGACCTGACTCATAGCGACCCCTCCTTGGGTTTCCCAGGCAATATCACTAGGGAAGTAGATTTCCCAACCTTCCTTCCAAGGAGTCGCCGGTGGGTTTGAACCGCCAGCCTTCTGGTTAACAGTCAAGCGTCTTAGGCACTATGCCACCAGAGTTCCCCAGACTGAATCTAGCGGGATAAAAATTTGTTGCCATGTAGTCGGCTAGAACTTTCTGTATAACAAAACTAACCGTTGCTGAGATCTGCGCCATCTTCATGATCGTTACGTTTGAGTCTACTTAATAAAATTTTACAATAAATTTAGGAAAGATAATGATTAGGAAAAAATAAATAGAGTTTTAAAAGGTACAAGACGACAAGATATATATCCGCCGCCCAAGGATTGAGAACCTTTCTAGCCACTTCCCCCCTTTCCACTTCCGACGGTTAACAGATACCGTCAAACAGACCGAAATACGCACGCGCACACCTACGTCCAATGGCAGCACCTGGCCGGAAGCCTCCCGATGGCGCACGCGCAGTGTCAGGCAGTCGCCATGGAGACGCGTGGCCCTACCGGGCAGTCAGACCTTGGCGTGGTGTGCTCCGTGGCGGCGCCGGCGGCGGCTTCTGGGCTGCTCCACGCACAGGTCACGGCCCTGCGGGCGGATGGACCACCGCGGTGGGGCCGTGGCGACAGGGTACGTCAAGGAGGACGACGATGACGAAGAGGAGGAGCGGGCGGGCGGTACTGTGGCCACGCCGGGGTCAAGACTGCCCCCCATCGCAGGCGGCGCCTCAGAGCTGGTCAAACGGAAGGTGAAGAAGAAGAAGAAGAAGAAAAAGATCAAGGGGTCGGGCAAGGGGGACGGTAAGAGGGGCAGCTACCGCCGCAGCTTCCTCCTGTATGTGAGAATCCGAGTGCCATGGAGAGACTCCCCTCGCAGAAACCCTCCCTCTAACTAGAGACTACCTCTAGCCAGAAACAGAAACTCCCCAGTCCCTAACAGAGGCTTTCCAGCCTCTTTCCCCACACATATACTAATCCCAGTACCGAAGTGCCCAGCCTTCCCCGTAAAGAGCGTCTGTGCCCACAGAGGCTCCCCCAACAAGCATGGACCCGTTTATCACCATCACTTTGCAGTCTCCCAACCCTACACAGAGACCACCAAATCCTACAGTATACACCACCCCCTCCACGGACCCTCACACTCTCCCGTGACTACCTGAGAGCCACAGAGACCTCTTACAGAGAAAGACCCTCCAATCCTCATGGGCTCCCCAAATCCTGCACTGATAGTTCTCAGTATCCACAAGGACCCTCAGTGCCACGCAATTACACACACAGGAATACACTCCCCCCCATTCCCACAGAGACTTCTAGCCCCACATCTTGACTCAGCTTTACAGGGACACCCTCTCAACTCCCTAATCGCTCTACAGAGACTCGAAATCCCAAACTTTACACCTTCCCCAGAGAAGTCTCAAGCCGACCTACAATGATCCTATCATCTCCACTGACTGTTCCCAAAGCCAAAGACACAAAGACGGCACATTACAGACTTGCATGTACACACAAAATCACAGATTCCTGCCATCTGCCTAGAGACCCTATCCTCATATGTGTCAGGCTCCTGCTCCTGCGAAAATACATATAAGCACCCTCCCACACACACACACCAAGGTGGTAAGGGGCAGCCTCTGACCACACAAACACCCATCATACCAGTCTCTACTACCAAAACCAAACCCGTTGCTGTCAAGCCAATTCCAACTCATGGTGACCCATGTGTTACAGACTTGAACTGCTTTGTAGGCTTTTGTTGGTTGTAATCTTTATGGAAGATGGTAAAAGGATACAATCTTGACGCACACCCTTCCTGCTTTTAAACCATTCTGTGTACCCTTGTTCTGTTCGGATGACAGCCTTCTGATCTATGTACAAGTTCCTCACAAGCACAATTAAGTGTTCTAGAATTCCCATTCTTTGCAATGTTATCCATAATTTGTTATGATCCACCAAGTTGAATGCCTTTGCATAGTCAGTAAAACATAGGTAAACATCTTTCTGGTATTCTTTGCTTTCTGCCAAGATCCACCTGACACTAGCAATGATATCCCTTGTTCCATGTCCTCTTCTGAATCCAGCTTGAATTTCTGGCAGTTCCTTGTCAATATACTACTGCAGCCATTTTTTAATGTCTTCAGCAAAATTTTACTTGTGTGTGATATTGTTCGATAATTTCCATTCTGTTGAATCACCTTTCCTTGGAAGGGGCACAGATACCAATCTTTGCCAGTTGGTTGGCCAGGTAGCTACCTTCCAAATGTCTTGGCATAAACAAGTAAGCTCCTCCGGCACTGCATCCATTTATTGAAACATCTCAATGGGTATCCCATTGATTCCTGGGGACTTGTTTTTCACCAGTACCTTCAGTGCAGCTTGGACTTCTTGCTTCAATACCGTTGGTCTTTGTCATATGCTACCTCCTGAAGTGGTTGAATGCTGACCATTTCTTTTTGATATAGTTACTCTGTGTATTCCTTCCATCTTCTTTTGATGCTTCCTACATCATTCAGTATTTTGCCCACAGTTACTTGTAACTCGAGCCTTGAATTTCTTCAGTTCTTTCAGCTTGAGAAATGCCAAGCCTGTTCTTCCCTTTTGGTTTTCTAATTCCAGGACTTTGCACGTTTCATTATAATACTTTACTTTGTCTTCTCAAGCCACCCTTAGAAATCTTCTGCTTCATCATGTTCTTCATTTGCTTTAGCTACTCTACATTCAAGAGCAAGTTTCAGAGTCTTCTGACACCCATTTTGGTCTTTTCTTCCTTTCCTGTCTTTTTAATGACCTTTTGCTTTCTTCTTGTACGACATTCTTAATGTCATCCTACAATTCATCTGGTCTTTCTTTGGCCTTGGTGTTCAGTGCATCAAATCTATTCCTCAGATGGTCTCTAAATTCAGGCGGGATATACTCAAGGCCATATTTTGGCTCTAGTGGACATGTTTTAATTTTCTTCAGCTTGAACTTGAACTTGCATGTTAACAATTGATGGTCTTCCACAGTCAGCTCCTGGCCTGACTGATGATACTGAGCTTCTTCATCGTCTCTCTCCACAAATGTAGTCAATTTGATTCCTGTATATTCCATGTGGCAAGGTCCATGTATATAGTCACCATTTATGTTGTTGAAAAGGTGTTTGCAATGAATAAGTCATTGGTCTTACAAAACTCTATCATGCAATCTCCTTTGTCATTTTTGTCACCAAGGCCATACTCTCCAACTACCAGTGCTGCTTCTTGGTTTCCAACTTTTGCATTCCAATCACCAGTAATTATCAGTATATCTCGATTGCATGTTTGGTCAATTTTAAACTGCAGAAGTTGTTAAAAATCTTAAATGTCTTCATCTTTGGCTTTAGTGGTTGGTGCATAAATTTGAATAACATTATTAATGGGTATTCTTTGTAGGCATCTGGTATAGGCCACCCAGGGACTGCTAAACCAAAAAAACCCACTGCCATCGAGTCAATTTTGACTCATAGCAACCCTGTAGGACAGAGTAGATAGAACTGCCCCATAGAGTTTCCAGGGTTTTAAATCTTTACAGAACCAGATTGCCTCATCTTTCTCCCAAGAAGTGGAATGCAAAATATTCAACCATATGCCACCAGAATTCCCACTCTTAAATTCCAAACACATTCAATAACACTCCTTCATATGACACAACCAAATAAGAATAAGGCACAGACACTGTGTGCACACGCATTCACAGTCTGCATACACCGAGATGCTGCACACTCACACACACAGACCCCTCCCAACAGTTCCTGTACATAGGCAGTAACACACAGGCAGAGACGCACTCCATTCTCTCTGGGTACCTCCTTCACATACGTATGCACATCGGCACTTGCCACAAACCCACAGAGTCCCTGTATCTCACTGAGCTCCCTCCCATCGAATCCTAGACACTGTGACAAAGGCACTGAGCACTTAACTTTGTGGAGAGAAAGTGCAGGGCACCTGCTGTGAGTGCCAGAAGTCTACACTGTCACCTGTGTGGTCCACCTCAATGGCTTTGATCATTTGGGAAAGTAATTCTCATTGACTCTGGCACAGGAGCTCTGAACTCCAGTGTGGCTAGGCCTGAGGTTGAGTTTGGGAACTGGTCCTTTGTGAAGGAGCTCTGGTGGTGTAGTGCTTAAGGCATTTGACTGCTAACCAGAAGACTGGCAGTTCAAATCCACCAGCCACTCCTCGGAAGGAAGATTGGGCAGTCTAGTTCATAGTGATACCGCCTCAGAACCCAAGGAGGGGTCGCTATGGGTTGGATCCGCCTCGACGGCAGTGAGTTTGCTTTGGTTTTGGTCCTTTGTGTACAGACCTGGCAGCACAGGAAAGTCAGAAGCAGAAGGAATGGCAGCCTTCCCCATGTCAACCTTGTAGTTTGGGGAAGGGAGGAATGAGGAGATTATAATGACTTGTTCAGATGGAATCACAATAAAAAGTGAAAACAAAGTTCTGGAGTTTAGGTTAAACTATGATATGTGCAAAACCAAATTGGCAAATCTGTTGTCTTTCGGCTTAGCTTCTGACTCTAGAAATTGCAGTGGCCTGTACCGCATACTGTCATCAGGGAACACCAGACAGTTTTCAGGGGGTAGGAAGGTACAGGAACTTCCAAAGAAACTTTTTATTTTCTTTCTTCTTTTTTCCTGGGGGGTGAGGGGTGGGTTGTGGGGTAGGGAAAAGGTGCAGATATTTTTCTCTCCCAGAAAACAGAAGGATTACTTGATCAAAGAATCACAACCTATAATATTTCATGTAATTCTGAAATGCTATTAATGGTTTTTTAAACAGTATCAGTACAAGCCACACAACAGAGGTTATTTCCTGACTTGGCATAATATTGCTTTCCTCAACTAAATTTAGGAAGCGGTCCTGTTCTCCATCTCATCCATTGTAAAGTGTCTAAATTAGTGGCAGAGTCCGAGGCTCCTAGGTCTGGGAAGGAGTATCTGGAGAGGTTAAGTGGGAGGCAGCATAGCAGAGCAGAAAGAATAGGGCACTTGGGGAGTGTTAAAACCTTCAGTGGGGCACTGGCAAGTTCCTGAAACTCTTGGAGCCTCAATTTTCTCACCTGGAAAATGGGCTGATCCCCTTTATCCAGTTGTTGTTATGTGCCATCGAGTCGGCCCCGACTCATAACGACCCCTCCTTGGGTTGCCAAGGCAGTATCACTATGGAAGTAGATTGCCCAGTCTTCCTTCTGAGGAGTGATTGAAGCTTTATCCAGAGGACTCTATAAATGGTTCCTCCCCAAAAATAACTTCATCAAAAGCACACAGCTGGTGGGTGTGTAGGAGGATGGTAGGCTTGGAGGGCCGAGTCCTAGGTACAGAGGGACTCCCGTTCTACATGTTTGGTAATCCTGACACCATCCCTGGCAGGCAGGCTGAGTGCAGACCATGCCACTAACACTGCTCATCTGCCCAGCAGATAAACAGCAGAGTCGAGGCCTGAAGAATCAGTCGCTTTCTTCATCTCCTCATGAAGTCCTAAGTCCGAGCAAAGATCACAGCCCAAAGCAAGAGGACACAGAGGACAAAGAGGACGACAAGCATATCCTCACCTACTCTTCAAGCCTCCCTGACTCTGCCAGAGTAGAAGAGAGCCTTTCAAGCCAGATCAACGAAAGCCTACGTTGGGATGGGATTCTCTCTGACCCTGAAGCAGAAAAAGAAAGGATTCGCATATATAAACTAAACCGGAGGAAGCGGTACCGGATTTTGGCCCTCAAGGGCTTGCACTCCAACCAGGATGCCCAGGAGGCCGAGGAGAACCTTCCCTATCTCTCCGACAGAGACAGCGGCTCCAACAGCGGGCCGCCCGCTCTAAAGGCTGACCGCCAACACCACTATTTTGAAATGAATCTGTCCCCAAAGACCCTACACTCAGATTTAGCTCCTGCTCTGCCAGAGTGAAAACCACCCTGACATTGACAAGCTCGCAGTTTATCCTGACCACAAGTTTATGAGTTAAAATAATCGTTACTAATAAAAGGAAATCAGACCTATATCTGAAGGAAGCAGACGCTGGTATGGTAATGAGCTCCACTCCCTTAATTGCCAAGAAAAGCCACAGTTCCTTAAGAACATAAGCAATGTAAGGAAAAAAGTTCTTTTTAAAATTTCCTTTTTCTTAAATAAACTGGCATCTCTCTTTGTTACCTGATTTCTCATCACAATTAGGTGTCTATAATCTGTCCCCCAAAAGAGGAGAAAGTGTATAGATTATGTAAATTCTAAGCCTTAGACCAAGGGGACAGTGATGGTTCAGTGATAAAACTCTCACCTTCCATACAGGAGATCCGGGTTCAATTCCCAGTCAATGTACCTGTTGCCCGGCCACCACGCATCTGTCTGTGGTAGGTTGTGTGTTGTTACGATGCTGAACAGGTTTCAACAGAGCAGACAGATGAAGGCTGACACACAGACAAGCCTGACAAAGACTTGGTGATACACTTCCAAACAATCAGCCAGTGAAAACCCTTTGGATCTTAACAGTCTGGTCTGGTTGTCCATGGGGTCCCCACTGATAGCACCCGACAGCAACAGCGAATCTAAACCACTGGGCAGATAAAGCCCTCACATGGTACATGGTTCTCTGGGCCCAAGAAAAATGCTCCAGATGTCTTGGGGACTTTTTCTTATAATTAATTAAATACATTCCCCAGCCCTTACAAGGCCTTCAAAATAAGTGAGTTCCAGAACTTCATCCTTAGGGGGAGTCCCGAAAAGAATATTGCTTGTCTTATTAATATGACACTTTCCTACCCCCCAAAGACAGCATTTTAGGAAGAGTTCTGGAGCATTAAAAAATACACTGCACTGCTGTCTGTCCTAAGTTACTATTCCTCACGTCCTCACGTCCACAAATATTTACTGAGTGTGGGCTGTGTGTTGCCTTATTTTGGGTTCATCTAGAAGCAGACCCTGAGCCCAGGATTCAAATGCAAGTAGATCATTCAAGAGGTGATGGGAACATCGGTGGGGAGGTAGTGCCGGGAAGGGAGGCTGGCCCATCAAAGGTACACTAGGCTGGGCAACTGGTGCTTAATCCCATGGGAAACACTGGGAAGCAATACAAGACCAACTTCTGAGACTTAACCCCACCTGAGGGTGAAGAGGCCAGGGTATTTATACCCCAAAGGCATTGGCTGAGAGCTATTTCAGGGGAGGGGGTGTAATTTCCTCTCATTGCCAGCCTGCCAGGATGGCTTATGGGCCTAAAAGAGCTAGTTCAATTCTGGGGGAAAAGCCCTCAGGCAAAAAGATGTACCCTGAAAGGTCCAAGGGTTAGGGATGGCTCTGACATTACAGGTCACCTGTGTGCAACACAGTTCAGGGCCTGAGAGGGACAGAGCCAGATGACCAGTTGTCACTGATTCCAACTCATGGTGACTACGTGAGGGTCAGGGTAGAGCTGGGCCCCACAGGGTTTTCATGGCTGATTTTTTGGAAGTAGATCACCAGGACTTTCCTCTGAGGGGCCTCTGGCTGGACTCGAACCTTGAACCTTTGGTGAGCGGCCAAGTGTGTTAACTATACCACCCAGGAGGGAATAGAGTGGAGGGTTAAGATGATGAGGTCCCTGCCTTCCAGGGCTTTAAAATGCTTTTAGGTAGGCAAGACTTACAGTACACACAGGAGAAGTTCAAGCCAATACAGAACATGATGGAATGTTTATCTGAGATTTAAGTGGAAAGGGTCATCTCGGTCACTGCTATCCCCGGGCTGATAGAGCAGGTCTCTTGTCACCTGGTTTCATAACTGTACAGCTTTCACATGTTTTGCCATCATGTACTGACAAAATAGACTGAATGGACTTTGGGAGGAGCCCTCCCCTGCACTTCCCTGGAGACTGCTTAGCAGCGGGCAGGGCCCCTGAGGCGGACAGGAATGGCGCACCCTGCGCTGAGGCGGCCTGGCCTCTGCTGTGTCAGGGGAAGGGGGACCCAGCAGCAGCAAGCAAAGGGAAGAAGGGCTGCGGGTGGGACTCCCTGGGAGCAGGACCACAGGACCTCGCCTGATGCCCCAGGTTCCAGGCAGAGTGGAGCCGCTGGGCTGGCATCTCTCGTGTCCTCTGGATTGACCACAGCGGCTGGGGGCGGGAGATGGAAGACTCGTGACGGCATACCAGACTCAGTGCCTTGGTCATTTTAGTAATGTTTTTTTGTGAGGTGGGGGAAGGGCTGCCATGAGGTGTCTGTTAGCTAGTGATGCTGTCACAGAAATACAAGTGGGTGGCTTTAACAAACAAACAAATTTTCTCACAGGTTAGGAGGCTAGAGTCCCAATTCAGGGCACCGGCTCTGGGGGAAGGCTCTCTCTGTCAACCCTGGGGACAGATCCTTGTCTCAGATTCTTTAGTGTTTTTAGTGTTCCCTGGTTCCTAGATAATCTCCCCGTGGCATCAATTTTGTGCTGGCTTCAGTGCCTAGCCTGCTCTTTTTATATCTCAAGAGTGATTAGGTTTAAGACACACCCTATGCTGATATGGCTACATTAACCTAACAATGAAAACCCTATTCCCAAGTATAGGGGTTAGGATTGCAACATGTATTGGGGGGGATACATTGTAATCCAGTAAAGGAGTGATTCTGGAGGAGTAGTCAGATGATCAGCTTTGACCTCAGAGCTGAATGCATCTTTCCCATCACATGCTAGCTGTGTGACCTCAGGCAAATTGCTTGACCTCTCTGAGTCTCATTCTCCTAATCTGAAAATGGGACTGCAAATATCTACATCACTGCTGTGAGAATCAAATGCAGTTATTATCTAAAGCATTGTGCACAGAGCCTGGCACCTAGAAGAAATTTGTCTATTATCCTCCAGACAAAGAATGATTCATTTTTAAGAAGCCCTGACCAATGATCATGGGTGTGGATCACATAGCAGGAGTTAATCTCAGGTAGTCTGGATTGACTGCATTCTTATCTCCACAGCTACTGACCCTTGGCCAACACTATGGGATCTGTTAACTTTGGAAGAGAATGCATTAGCCATGCTTTAGTCATAATACTTGGGTTTATGATTTGCCTCTGGTTTTGGTGGTGCCTAAGGCTTTAATCATTTAGGGCTGGTCACTACGAGATACTTCCACCACAAGTAGACCGTGGGCTTTCAGGTTACAACAGTGCTTCACACCCCACCAGTCGTGGTTCAAAACCTGGGACCAAAGTGATCCCGTACGAGCTTCATTACCATCCACTGTGGACACAGCAGGAAGACACATCCCACGGTGGCTGTGGGTAGGTGGCCACGGTAGATACCTCCTAATGATCCCAGCCTCCCAGTGTTCACAACCTTGTGCAATCCTCTCCCATTGAGTGCAGGCTCAATGTGTTGACTCACTTCTAATGAAAAGAGTTTGACAAAACTGATAGGATGCCACTTTCTAGATTAGATTACAAAAAGACTCCAGCTTCCATCTGGTAGCCACTCTGTCCCCCTCTCTCAGAGCTCTCTCTCTCTGGGAAACGAGCTGCTCTGCTGTGGATCGCCTGAGAAGAGGCCCAGGTAGCAAAGAACAGTTGTCTCTGGCCAACAGCCGGGAAGGAGCTGAGGCCTACCAATAGCCATGTGAATGAGCTTAGAAGCAGGTCCACCCCCACTGTAGCCTTCAGATGACTAGCCTTGGGATAGACCCTGAGCTAGAGGCACCCAGCCAACCTACACCCAGAAACTCTGAGATAATAAAGTTGGTTTACAAACGCATCACACTGCCATGGAGTGGGATCCAACTCATAGCGGCCCCTCCTGGGGTTTCCCAGGCAGTATCTCTATGAAAGTAGATTGCCCAACCTTTCTTCCCGAGGCGTGGCTGGTGGGTTCGAACCACCAGCCTTCTGGTTAGCAGTCAAATGTCTTGGGCACTAAGCCATCAGAGCTCCTTAAAGTTGTTTTAAGCTATGTAATAATAGTATGCTCAGGCTTTACTCTTCAGGTAACATAGGAAATGCTTGTGCATTACAGAAAAATTTAAAAATGCACACAAACAAAAAATATTTTTAAAGCACTTGTAGTCCCACCATTTAGAGAGCTACCTTCTGTACTTAGTACCCATTCTTCCAATCTTTTTCTATTCATGTATCTGTATACAGGAAAAATATATATATTCATAGGATAATAATACATATATTGCCTTTTAATGGTTCTCTTAAAAATAGAGCATGGACATATCTCCAAGTCTCTAAATTGATATCAACATTCTTTGAAATGCTGGTCTAGTAGTCCATTTTATAGACTATTTATTTAATGCTGTATTTGTGGCACAGTGCCTAAGGCATTTGACTGCTAACCAGAAGCCTGGCAGTTCAATCCCATCAACCACTCCTCAGAAGGAAGATTGGGCAATTTACTTCTGTAGAGATACCGCCTTGGAAACCCAAGGAGGGGTCCCTATGAGTCAAAATCAACTTGATGGCAGTGAGGTTGTTTTTTTTTTGTGTGTGTGTGGACATTTACTTTTTTCTGGGGGCCTTGATGGTGTACTGTTTAACACATTCAACTGTTAACCAAAAGGTCAGCAGTTCAAACCCACTAGCCATTCCTTAGAAGAAAGATGAGGCAATCTGCTTCCATAAAGATTTACAGTCTTTGAAATCCTATGGGGCAGTTCTACTCTGTTCTATAGGGTCACTATGAGTCGGAATTGACTCGATGGCAGTGGGTTTTGTTATTTGGATTTTATTTTGTTTCCTGAGGGCAGTGACAGAATTCCCACCTTCTACGTGGGAGACCCGGGTGTGATTCCCAGCCAACATACCTTATGAGCAGCCACCACCCACGTGTCAGTGGGGGCTTGTATGTTACTGTGATGCTGAACAGGTTTCAGTGGCGCTTCCAGACTCAGGCAGACTAGGAAGAAAGGCCTGGCTATCTATTTCCAAACATCAGCCTGTGAAAACCGTCTGGCTCAC